AGGACTTTGACAAAATTCAAGACTACAGTCTAGACATGCAGAGTGCTACATGTACAGTAGAAGAAACATGAGCTACAAACCTTAAAAAAAACATTGAGCAAATAGAAACAACATACTGTTTATGTTGATACAGTGCATCATAGTGTTAGACGACTATGAAGATAACTGATTTAATTTTCCTCAAAACAATTCATGACCTTTATGATCAACAGAGCATCACAGCCCAGAGGACACAAGTATAAACTGTGTGGAAGTGCATCTTAAACTGAAAGCAGGGGAGATATCTTTACACAAAGGCCTGTGGGAGTATGGAACAAGCTGTCCTGTCATCCATTTGCTGAGACCAAAACAGTAGCGTCTTTCAAAAAACAGCCAAAAGGTCCTCCTGTCTGTAATAACCGGTTTTTATGCTTATGTGCTTATTTTTGGAAACAGAATCCCCTCCATACGGATTGTACTGCAGCAAAAAAAAAGGCTCATCTAATTATAACTGTGGAGATCTTGCCTTTGAGCTGTGTTATTTTGGGTAATGTATGATAGTGATTATGATTCTTCAGTGAAGAAAATCTAAAAAACATTAAGCGATAATATCACTCGAAGGGATCATTGTCTTATCATTTGTTGTGAGAAATCACATTACTTCTATGTCTGTAGCTGTGTGACTGAAACGCATTACAGGAGCTTTTTGACCCCATCAGCAACAAAATGGTATTACTTATGTAGCAGGCAGAGATAAATAACTTGGCTTCGAAATCGCAATATATATTATTTGTGTTTAAGATGATGCTGCACACTTTTAAATACTGTCCAATGAACTACCTGAAATGGAGTGCTACAGCTTTATAAAGAGATCCGGTGAAGAATAATTCATGCTCATATTCACCCTGTCTGCATTTAAGCAGATCATTCACAATGTGGCATAGAAATGTGACCTTGATACTCAGTTCAGAATACAAAGGTCTGTGGCTCAAAAATAAGCTATTGGAGAAATTTAAGATTTAGCTTGCAGGAAAGTTCCAGGAGTACACAGACTTTTGCAATATTTTGCTTTTGCTAGAAGTTAAATAGATCATTTTACTTCAATCAGGTGCAAGATTTAATATTTTGCCAACAAATTAAGGGAAAGGATGAAATTGTGACAGCGCTGAACAGACTTTAGGGCTTGCAGGTACTCCCTAAAATGGCAGGATCTATTTTAATTCTTGCTGTTTTTGTGGATATATTTAATATATAAAATTTAACTTCACGGGGAAAGACCTAGGTGAAACTTAACAAGGTCTGGATATATTCCCCAACTATTTGTTTTGTAGGTGCATTTTTATGCCACAAATGTTGACATTTTCCTTTGCTCATTTTCAGTTTGCATCTTCAGACTTGTTGAAGCAGGGTCCTCAATCTCAGCAGCTCTTTCTCTTTCTTAGCAACTCTTTCTCTTGTGTGGTCCTTCCCAAGACCCAAAGACTTGGCCTATTGCATATTTTGTTGTTATTCTTCGGCCTTGTCTTTCATTTCACATTGAAAAGTCTTTTACATTGTTTGTGAACGGGTCACTAGGAAGGACGAAAAACAATTGAGCCACTGGAAAGATAGTTGAACTTAATCTGGGTAAAGGTCTCTTAGGATATGGTAGTTTTCTGATTTCTCAGAAATTTGTCTTGCGGCAAACAGCTACAGTATGTTTTGCATACACAGAAACAAACAGACAGTACAAGTAAACCTCTTATTACATAACCCACACATCTACCCATATTAATATTAATTTCACACCCTATATACTCAACTATACTATATACAGTATACAACCAACTATATCAGAACCCTGTAAATTTACTCACCCCACGATTACTAAGCCCATGTAATCACTTTGGCCCATAATCCTCTATTAGCACGTTCCCATAAACCACTGCTCATTTACTGTGAGCGTGATTATTGATTGAGTTGTTTGATTGAGTGTGGGATAAAATACATCTTCATTTTGTTAAGTCTACATTAAAGAGAACGTCTGAAATGTTTGTGAGTTGGTATTCTTCATGCAGGACCTCGGAGAAGATGCTAAAAACTAGCCCCAACGTGCTCTTCAGTTTGAAAATGTAAAGCGTCCCGCTCATAGGGGCTCAGAGGGGGCTACCCCACTAGCCTAGAAAACATAGTCAAGAGCCTGGACATCTTAGCTTTTTGTTGCAAAGAAAGAGTCCTTATACCAGATGGTTATTTCATACTGTATCACAGTACAGAAAAACATGGACAGAATCTTGATCTCCACTTTTGCTGTTTGTCTGCTAGGTCTAAGCTGGTAACACCTGTGTCAGTGGAGGGATCTTCTGAGACTGATTAAGGATGCGCTTGAGTTTGCTGTGAAATTTTATGGGATCCCTGCATGTCTTAACCTTCTTTTTAGCATTCTGGTTTAGCTGTGTGTTCATCTGCTTCATGCTTAAAGCTTTAGTTGTTTTTATTTATGATTTATTTCCCTGAGGCAGCTTGGCACAGTTTTTCCATCTCTGTGCTGTGATTCAATTGTATTACTAGAGCTTGTGCTTTATCGTCTGCGTTGCAGAAAGGTTGTGGGTCTGAAAAGGGCGCTATTTCCCCCAGGCAGTGTGGAAGATTGTCATCTAAGCTTCAGAGTGCAATTTTATTTACACAGCTTGTGAGGCTGCATACCAGTATTCACCAATATTCAAAGACACTGACACATAGACTATAGATAGATACTTTATTAATCCTGTGAGGGAAATTGCAGTGCCACAGCAGCCTGGCACAGTCAATACAGCACAGTGTAATGAAATGATACAATAATAAACAATACTATATAGTAAGTACAGTCAGTGTGAAGTGCAGTACAAATTGAGTATACAGAATTGCTCCCAGTACAGAAGATACAAAACAAACCAGAATGTATAGTACACAAAAAATATATTGCACATTCTAAATATATTGCAAAAATCCCTACCATGTATTGCACAAAAACAAGAATTCATGTTTAGTCCAAAAACAGGTCAATGTTGCCCATGTGCAGACACACAGTGGATGAGTTGTAGAGTCTTATGGCAGAAGGCAAGAATGACCTCCTGTAGTGCTCCTTGTCGCACCGTGGTTGGATCAGCCTATTGCTGAACATGCTGTTCATTCTCACAAGCATGTCATAGAGGGGATGCGAGACGTTGTCCATGATGGCCATTAATTTGGACACCATTCTCCTTTCAGCTACTAAGCCACCTCTCAGCCATATGCATACGTTTAGAGCGTTTTAATTACCCCTGTTGCTCTACTGACCAAATAACTGCAAGATGAGAACAATCTACAACCTACAATCTACAGAGTGACTTTCCAGTAATTGTAGGAGTACAGTAAATTATCTTAGGGCTCGGAACACCTGAATGCTGTATGTGCAACAGCATTTGCTAAGGAAAAAACTCATTTAACTTAATGTGCACAAATTCTAACAAAGTTTTGAAGATGAAATTCATAGCATTAGGAATAATTCCTCTGCCATTGCTTTCAACAATCTGGGCATTTAATTCCCTATGCTTCTCAGTCCTGAGGCTACTACAGTAATAGAACAGAGAATAATTGGGACCCTCTCTGTGGGCGACAGCTTTCAGTACCTTTCAGTCAAGTAATTAAAATAGCTTTTTTGATAATTGTTCTGTGTGGATTTCTATTTAAAAACCTGTAGGTGGTTTGCTTGTATACCCCAATGGGAGTTCATTGCTGCTGTCTTTTAATTTACATATTTAATTTTAATGTGGTGAATGGGTTACAGTACACTGCAACAATAAGCTATCTGCCCCATATTTCATATTTTCCTTGGTATGAAGTCACTGTCCTTGCTGGAGCTCTGTAAAAATGTTTCCTAGTTACCGCAAGTGGGTAGTTTGACTTCATTGCTCTGTAATTAACGATAATTCCAGTGTACATGAATGGGCCCTCTTTGTATCATTCATTGTGGACTTCCCCTCAAGAGGAAATATTTTTCCTTACTTACTACAAGTAAATGTAATTTCTTACATTTTTAAAGGAATTCAATTATGAACTGAAGTCATTCAGAATACTGTTGTTAGGCACAATGACAGTGCATTACGTTTTATGTGGATATTCACGAGCAGTATTTGCTTGTGGAAGTGCTGAGTTAGTGGTCCATAAATTATTGGAAGGGTTTTAAAAAAATAAATCAAGTCATTCTTCAATTAAGATAGAATTAAAGTTACACTTAAAGTTAATAAAGGGGAACTGCAATGCTATTTTTATATTTCGGGGTTGAAAAGAGTCAGCATTGATTGAGTGCATTTCAAACCACAATAAAAGTCTAATGTGCACAGTATCTTATAAAATAATTAACTTCACGAAATAGAGGAGATTTCCAGTTATGCTCAGCGCCATGTTCTGTGATTCAGAACGAGGCAACACAACGTCCAGTGAGAAGTTGCCCTGTTACATTATAAACAACCAGGCTTGTGAATACATTCCTTTTAATCCAATAGAAATATTGCTTTGGTTTTGCCGAAAAATACTACTTGTTAACTCTGCACGCAGATCACATTGGAACATTTCTGCAGTGAAATAACTGCTGCACAAACTGTAATTATTCACTGATTATTATATTACTCATTGCAGTGACTAGTGAGCAGGAAGGGCCGCTTCATGTCACAATTCATGGGAACTCTTGCTCTCCCCCGTGGAGAGACCAGGGCTTTGTGACAACATGGCGACTTACAGTACTTTCACATAGTTCACGATTTTGTGCTTAATTCGAAATGAGTAAAATTTGCCTAGAAAATCAAGGAATTTATTTTGTTGCCAAGATTTGATAACCAGGCCGAGAAATTGGGACTCCAGTTGGCATTCGAGGAGCATGTATTTGCTCTCTTGCTTTATCTCGAAAGGAGACGTGTTTTTTGGTGTCGTTTCTTGTCATGTCACTTTCCAAGTAATGGGTTGTATGGCATGGGAATACATATTTGAGTGCTGAGGGTTTTCTTTATGTTTTTTTTTTCCAGGGTCATCAATGCAGGGAAGAGCACGCTGAATGAAGACCAGGCCTGCTGTGAAGTTGTCGTTGTTAAAAAGAAGCCGGGGGTCCTGTCTAGTCCAAATAAAACCTCCACGTTAAAGAGAAGGTCATCGCTGCCAAACGGCGAGGGCTTGCAGCTGAAGGAGAACACAGTGAGTCCATTACCAGTGCCATACCTGTGGAATCTCCATTAGATCTTTTTTTGTTTGTTACTGTGCAATTTTGTTAGAGGCTGTGGATGACGTGACTGCACAGTGGTTGGCATTGCTGGGGCCCTGGGTTCAATTCCAGGCCTCGGGTGCTGTCTGTGTGGAGTTTGCATGTTGTCCCTTGGTTTGTGTGGGTCTCATCTGAATGCTCTGGTTTCCTCCAAGAATCCAAAGACATACTGGTAGATTAATTGGCTTCTGGGAAAACTGGCCCTAGTGTGAGTGTGTTTGTGTCTGCGACCTGCTCTGGCTCACCCTCAACTATATATTGGATTGATGTTAAAAGGCATGCAGTGGGGTAGTGATTAGTGCTACTGCCTCACAGCTCTTGGGTCATGGGTTTGATTTTGGACTGGGATGGCATCTACAGTATATTGAAATTGTATGTTCTCTAAGTCTGCGTAGGTTTTCACCAGATCCAGTCCTGGTTAATTGGTAGCTGGTTAATTGGTGTCTCTAACAATTGTGTGAGTGTGAATGTATGTTGTGAGGCATCCCACTTCTCAGGTTTAACAGGCAATTGAGCAAAATGATCTTCAATATCCACTGTGCATTGAAGTAAAAGGATTACGTGGAATAAAATAGTATGTTTTTAGCTTTGTTTTTGGGCATTTGAGTATCATGCAGCCACTGATGGCTCAATCCAGAAATTCCTGTTTCATGGCATCAGCTTGAGTCAAATTTAATTTTCTCTAGGGTATCTATGACACTGGTACCTACATCTACATCTGGTATCTACAGGTATCTACAATTCGGTCTAATAAAAAGTTATGATCCAGTGTTTGTCAGAGAAACTAATCATACTGAAACTAAAACGTGTTTTCTTACAGTCCCCTCTCGTTTCTTGTAACTGGTAATTATTTGTTGGTTCCATGCAATGGACAGCACAGAGGATACATACTGTTGTGGATGTCTCACATATCAGGCAGCTGTGAACATTCCAGAATATTCCAAACTTGTTCAACTTGCCAGGCTATTCTTCTGCCTGGGTGAGTTTCCTGTGTCCAACCTAATACATTAATGTCTGTTTCTTCATAACGCTCATAAAGCTCAAGAAGATCACACATGATCAATTGTCTTATTTTTCCCCATGTACTGTACTTTCTGAACAAGTACCGTATAAAAACCCACCTTGTGCTTGCAGATCTGCTTTACCATGTCCAGCTATGTCAGTGCCTGCTCCATTATGAGCTAGGTGTCTTGCCAATTACTACATTATGTGTATCTGTGTCAAAGCTGCAAAATTCCAAACAGCCAGCAACTTTAAAGGTGCTACTGAGTTCCAAGTAGGCTTGTTCAAAAGAAATGGCAGTAATGCAAAAAGGACAAAGTATTCACAATTCATATCCATAAGAGCACTTGTTTATTTTGTTCACCATGAGAATAGGAAGAGAAACAAATCTCGTCGGATGTTCCCTTGACTAATGGTCTGCCTTTAAAACTAGGACTGGGAGTTACTAACCAAAACCTGCTCTTCCACGTCTGTAAATTGTTCTAAGGTGGACTGCTTCATGCTCACTGTGGGGGTAAAACAGGGCTTTACTAGAACCCTGGTGGTTCTACCTGACGTTTCTACTTTGACACTTAAAGGATCTTGGAATTTCTGTGGTGTATCTTCATTTTATCACAGATGTATAAAGGCATGAAACCTTATGCTGTATTCTAGAAGCTAGGGATTTAATTCCTTCCCTCTTTAGTGATCTCGAATGTTAACATTTTGGGACCGTCCTGCAGAGACCTTGGGTATACACCCATGTGGAAGAGTTCTGAGCACTAACTTCTGCAGTTTGTTCTGTTGGTTTGATGAGACTTCTGTTGCAGAAGTCCCAGCTTGTGCATTTAAGCCATGAATACAACAGCAGGGCTCCCAGTTTCCACTTTTGGACATCTGGGGTCTTGACTTTGCTTAACGAGTAAGGTACTGTAGCAGAACTCTGGTTAGACTTATCTATTTGCCACCAGGTTAGCTCATACAAAAAGGAAACACAGAAAATCTGTTTATATTTTTTTTGTGCACAGTTTTGAAGGCAAAGGATTTCAAGTGAGTTTAAGGATGCCATTACATAAATCTAAGGATGCCATTTGTATCCGATACATTACATTTCTGCCTTTCACCTGTATGAGAGTAGACTACTGGACATTAGTTCCATTCTAATAAATATTTGTGGAATGGCAAACACCAGAAAATAAAAACAGGCAAAAGACAGGAAAATGCTATGTACTAACTAGGCCACATCATAAAAATAACAGTTTATTTTTAAAGATGTTTTGTATACCTGTGTTCTCTCTGTGGTGGAGGCCTCCCACTACAGAAAATATCAGAATGTATGCGTTTTTATAAACATTGGAATCAGTGCGGCACTGACTTTTACAGTGAGTTACCCACATTCCCACAAATCCCTTATTCTGTACTCGCAAAAATAGAGCAGTGAAACCAACCATACACATCTATTGCAGTTGGAGTGCCAGATTTAGTTTACCAGCTCTGCTCTGATGCCAGTAATTTTAAGCTTCATTATGCAGTGCTGCCCCCAACATAACAATCATTCATGTCATGGTGTGATGTTACCACATACTGCGCCTTTCTTCATGTGTCGGTAATCTTTTCAGGTGCTAACCACGACAGTGACTTGGGGGGGGGGTTGACGATGGATTCTAATATGGCCTCATCTAATCTGGTTTTATTTTTTTCCACATTATACCTGTAGCATGGCTTCTGTTTCATTCTGCGTAAGAAAAAACTTGCAGTACTTATTTTTCTTGTCGCCATCTAAATGTGGTGCTCGGAACAGAGCTGCAGGTAAACAACAGTGCTTACGCCTATACTGTATATACTGTATAGGGGTGTGGGTGCTGAATAATTTAACTTATTTATTTGTCTAGAGGGCTCTACTAAATTTACAGAAACATCAGGTGCACCAACATGTTGTCCTTTCCTGACTGTCAGGTGAAGATTCTCTGGTTTTGATATCGAAGTGTCAGAACAATAAATCCTGAATGCATTTCTAGACAATACTGGACTTTTCAAAACACTGAACTAATATTTAATAGTAGAAATCTGTCATTATTGATGCTCGGAAAATTACATCTCCTATTAGCTATGGAGCCTTCCAAGAAACCCCAATTATCTTCAAATAACATAGAGGCCCTGATAACTTAATGACATCCAACCAAACATTTTTTCTAACCTCTGTATCCAATACAGGGTCACAGAGTATATCCCAGCAAGCAACAGGTGCAGGGCAGGGTACACCCTGGATGGGATGCCAGTCCATCACAGGACGCACGCAGACACAGACACATACTCACGCTAGGGCCAGTTTTCTCAGAAGCCAATTCACCTGCCAATACCGTATGTTTCTGAACTGGTGGAGGAAACCCACGTGAACACAGGGAGAACATACAAACTCCACACAGACAGCACTACAGGATTTGAATCCAGGCCACTGCCAATGCAAAGAAGAAATGCCAGCCACTGCATCACCGTGCCACCCAACTTAAAGACATATTTATTATCGATGTGTGCTAATTTGATATACATTATGTCAAAATAAAAATCAATGTAGTCTGTCTGCAGATGTGCTTTACCATATCTAGATATAGAAAAGCATCTTAAGTTGTTAGAATTCCTTGAAAAGGCAACAACAAAAATGCATATAAACAGGAAGACATGTTAGTGAATCGAAAACATAATGCAAATAAGGAGTGAATGTTGAAAATGGGCTGATTAATTAGTGGTCTGCCACATGAATTTGCCTTAGGACCACTGCTTTTCTTAAATCATCTGGTATAGTTTGTAAACTAATCAGTTTCACAGATGATCCCAACATACCCGATTAACACATGCAAAACAAGAGTCAAGGGAAATTCAAGAAGATTAGGACATACAGTAATAAAAGACTGTGCACCTCCTGGCACCTCACGCATTTACGGTATGTTTAGCTCCATTTTTTTTAAGTATTCTGCATATTTGAGAAGTTAACAGACATTTCCAGAGTCTAGATCAATCATGTGGACAAGGAGAAGCAGATCTACAATAGATCTGATACCTATTAGTACTGTATCGTGTTTCAGTCTGAGGAATCTCCCCAAATTTCACTTTCACTGCATTTAATTGCAGAGAAAAAAATAATTTAAAGGTTTTAATTTTTTAAAGGCTGCACATCTGTGAGTCAAGTGAGTGTTGGGGATTGTTGATGTTTGCAGAATCAGGAGCACTTCAGCTATTCATTGATTTTCTGCAGTGCTGATGGTGGGTTCAGATGTTTTTCAGTGTCAATATCGGCCTGCCCGACAGTTGCTGACAGTTCAGTTTTATGTTTCAGTTTTTTTCTGTTATTTTTATTTATTTGGCTTCTCAGTAAAAAAAAAAAACATTCCCTTACGTGTTTCAATAGTTTGTGTTTCTCGGAAGCAAAACAAATTTGAAACTCTAGGGGAAAAAACACCAACTGGATGAATGTCAGCCGTAGGAAACTCTTTGCAAACCTATTTTCTTGGGTCAAAATCCTAAATCGCAGGCATCACAGGGAAGTACAAGAAAAATTAATGAAAGAGTTGTTTATTGTGAGGTTTACTAAATATTCTGCCTCTATAGAATTCATAGCTCCTTTATGTTAAGAAGGCAGGCAGCAAGGACTTGTTAGGCTAAAGGTGTGTGATAAACAAGCTGCACACCTTAATATATCTTAATATATGTACATTTTGTGCTGGTTCAAAAATATTGCTATACCACATATGCCATTTATTGTGCTCAAATAACATGTTGTCTTTGTCCTTAATACAACAATTATGGCAACACAAAAGGTTGAATACAGGTATGTGTTGCCATAATTGTATGGATTATAAACTGCACTCTGAAGTGCTCGTGTTTCAGTGCTGATCTCTGAGAGAACACGTAACACGCGGAGCGGTGGCTATGTGGCTAAGGATCTGCGGCCGTGGCTGGAAGGTTGCCAGTTCAAATCCCGCAGCTGGCAGAGATCTCCTACTCCGTTGGGCCCCTGAACAAGGTCATACAATGACTGACCCTGCGCTCTGACCCCAAGCTTCTCTACCTGTCTGTGTGTCTGTGTCTCATGGAGAGCAAGCTGGGGTATGCGAAAAGACGAATTCCTAATGTGAGAAATTGTATAGGGCTAATAAAGCAACATTAAACATTAAAACAAAACCTTTTTCAAAACTACCCTGAACTGCACTGTGACTTTTCGGATTCCCACACCTCTATTTTCAAAGCAGTGCTTTTTGTGGGTGGGTGGTCACCCTGCAAAAGACTGGTTGTGCTGTCCAAGGACTTGTCCCACCTTGCTCCTTATTTTTCTTGGATAGACTCTTTCTCACCATTTTCTAACCACTTCCTGCAGTACACGATTGCGGGGGAGCCAGAGCCTATCCTGACCAGGGCACAATCCAATACACATACTCACACCAGGGTCAGATTTCCCAGGAAACCTATTAACCTACCAGCATGTCTTTAAGACTGGGGAAACCAGAGCACCCGGAGGCAACTTGCGCAAACATGGGGAAAATATGCAAATTCCACACCGACAGCAGCCCAGATCCAAAACTAAACCCATAGGCCCAGCACCATGGGACAGCAAGGCCACCACTCCACCATTTCCACTATGCCAGCAGCTATATCACCCTGCACCTCACAACTGGCAGCCCCTGCAACTGAAGCTCAGCAGCTGTGAGCCTGGTCAGTACCTGGATGGGAGACTCCTGGGAAAGCTAAGGTTGCTGCTGGAAGAGGTGTTAGTGGGGCCAGCAGGGGGCGCTCACCCTGCAGTCAATGTGGGTCCTAATGCCCCAGTATAGTGACGGAGACACTATACTTTAAAAAAGTGCTTTGGACCTGACTCTCAGCAATCATTAAAAATCCCAGGGGTGTTCTCGAAAATAGTAGGGGTGTAACCCCTGCTTTCTGGCCAAATTTCCCCCTGATCTTTACCAATCATGGCCTCCTAATAATCCCCATCTCCGAACATCACTCTGTTCTCCTCCCCACTGAGAGCTGGTATGTGATGAGTGTTCTGGCGCACTATGGCTGCCGTCCCATCATCCAGGTGGGGGCTGCACATTGGTGGTGGAAGTGGGATTCCTCCTTACCTGTAAAGCACTTTGATTGCAGTGTCCAGAAAAGTGTTGTATAAGTGTAATAATTATTATTATTATTACCACCCTTCCCAGGAAAAAGAGACTTTCTGGTAATGGACATATGGAAATCTCTAGGATGCCTGTGTGCTTGTGTGGTGTAGGGATCTGAGCCTGCTTCCGGTCTGAAGGGGTTTTCATGCGTGTGTTTCGACAGGACTCAGAAGGCTTGACGTTCCACTACTGGGCGCTGTTTGACGGCCACGCGGGCTCGGGGGCGGCCGTGGTGGCCTCCAGGCTGCTGCAGCGGCACATCGTGGAGCAGCTGCAGGACGTCCTGGACGTGCTGAGGAACAGCGCCGTGGCGCCCCCCACCTGCCTCGGGGAGGATCCGGACCACGCCCCCGGGGGGCGGGCCCTGACCCGCGCCGCCTCTCTGCGGGGGGCGGCCGGCGCCCCCGGCTCTCCCAGCGCCCCCCCGACCCGGTTCTTCACAGAGAAGAAGATCCGGCACGAGAGCCTTGTCACGGGGGCCATCGAGAATGCCTTCAAGACAATGGTGAGCCCGCCGGCCCATTGCCCATCCTCATAGCCAGCAGGCAGACAGAGGGGTTTTTCGAAGCTGAAGCTCAGACTTCGCCCCTCTTTTTCTCTTTCTTCCTGGCTTACTGCCGTCTCGGGTCAAAAAAACCACTTCTTTGTACGCTGCATAATCCCTCCCTTGCTAGGTTCTTACAGTTCCCCTGCAGGGGATTTGGGACCACGCTTTGCTCTGTTGTGAAATGGCTGGTCAATACAGATAATTAACCCTCCTCAGAGCTGACTGACAGTTCTCCATCTGCATCGTAAGTGGTCACGGCTTAGGTCGCCGCCAAGGGGGTGCTGTCGTCCTGCCCAGCCTCCAGGTCCAGATGGCTTTGCTGTTGAGCAAGGGATCCTCACACGTGAAATGCTAGTATACTGCTATGCAAATGTCAGGTTTCCCAAGGCACGCTCATGTGGTCCTAAGAGGTGCAATTCTTTGTACTGCTGGTCGTACAGTCAAACCTCTGTATGTTGCCGAAACATCATACAAGTGTGGTTCCAGTAGGGAGCTGCGTCAGCATGCGTAGGCTGCACAGGAACAGGTAAAAAGTTTAATCCATGCTGCAAAAGAGAAGAAGGGAAATCGTTTCGACCCGAAGAAGGGTACACAGCCGAAACGTTGCCGGCCTGCAGGTAGTTGGATGGATGGATAGATGTGCAAAACTCACTGACACAAAAGGTAATCAGACAGAAATAAGTAGGCAGCGTTTATGAGGTTGCAGCTTGTATAATAATAATTGCATAGTAACAGTAATGATGCAGTTGATAGAAGGCACATGGTAATATGTCAGTTGGCACTGCTGCCTCACAACTCTGGGGTCCCTGAATCAATTCCGGCCTGGGAAACCTGTGTTCCCATGTTCCTCCTGTGCCAGCAGCCATATCACCCTGCAACTCCCAGCTGGCAGCCCCACTGAAGCTCAACAGGTGTGAGCCTGTTCAGTACCTGGATGGGAGACCTCCTGGGAAAGTTGAGGCTGCTGCTGGAGGTGTTAGTGGGGCCAGCAGGGGGAGCTCACCCCATGGTCTATGTGGGTCCTAATTTCCCAGTATAGCGACGGGGACACTATATAAAGGTGCTGTCCTTCAGATGAGACATAAAGCCGAGGTCCTGACTATAGTCAATAAAAATCCCAGGGGGTTTCCCGAGAAGAGTAGTGGTGTTATGCCATTTTCTGGCCAAATTTCCCGTTGGCCTTTACCAGTCATGACCTCCCAATAATCCCGATCTCTGTCTTCATTACTCTGCTCTCCTCCCCACTGAGAGCTGGTGTGTGGGGAGTGTTCTGGCACACTGTAGCTGCTGTCGCATCATCCAGATGGGGCTGCACACTGGTGGTGGTGGAGGGGAGTCCCCATTACCTGCAAAGCTCTTTGAGTGCAGTGTCCAGCAAAGCACTATATAAGTGTGAGCAATTATTATTATTATTATTATTATTATTATTATTACATTAGGTTTTTCATCCTTTTCCTTTCTGTCCCAGAGACATGCTATCCAGGTAAATGGGTGTTTCTAAATGATCAGGTTTAAACAGATGTCCTACGTCAACAGGCCACACAAATTAAAACTTTAGTAGAGAAAACTATTTTGTTGTGTAAACATTATACATCTGTGTATGTATTTGGTAAATTTATTTTAAAATGCATAGTTTAGCAATTGAATTAAAGAGCCAACAGTTTACGTATCACTTTTGTTAAATGTAATATTTTAAACACCAACAAAAAAGCTGTCCAATAATAATTATATTGTGGATATATTGCTATGCAGTCCTTGTTCATTTCTTTGTAGCAGTAGATACCTGTATGTTATATCCCGGAAAGCTGAAATGATTTAGTGGACATTGATTAACCACCAGATGGTGCCCTACTGTTATTCTGTTTTGTACTCTGTATCGTCATACTGTAGTTTCATAAAGCCTGTGTAGATAATGCTTTATCTGCTACTGGGATGTAACCCAAAAATATCTGTTAAACATTTCCTAGTTGTCTTTCAAGATAACAAGTAGGTTTAACTGAGAGCAGGAATGACGAAATATACAATCCTAAAAAAACTGTGTGCTCAGAGTCCTCTGGTCAAAAAAGCAAAACTAAATATCTGATTCTTTTCCATGTAGCTGTTAACACTATATAATGCTAACACCAATAATAAATACAAGTTTTATTGCATTGGCTCTTTAGCTCAGTTGAAACCAGGGGTCCCTGCTGAAGCACAATGTGTTTATAAAGGTTAATAAATTGAGTGTACAAATAATTTAAACATCAATATGACAGCACAGCATTAACAGTGTTTAATTATAGAACATGGATCCTAACTGGATGTGATAGTATTCTCTTTTTGATGCTGTTTTCAATATATTCCAGCAGTAGGTGTAGGTAGGACTGTGTACATTTTAGAGTTCCTATGATAACAGTTGAGATAACCTAAGACTGTGCTGACAGTACTAATAGAAAGTGAAAGTGAAAAGAAATTAAACTGTAGTGAGTGCTAACAAATGTCCTTTTTTTAGCTTTAGATGTACAAGGTAGTGGAATGTGTTTTAATATATTTAATCTGATTGGGTGCAATGTGCACTAGTTAAGTCATCCCCACACCTGTTTTATTGATTTAGTTTAACAGTAAGTTCAAACACCCGATAAGTGCTTCATTTTACAGTATGTCACTATAGAAAAGAAAAGACTAATGTAATGATGTCCCCCCCCGACTCTGGCCTGTATTGGAGGTGATATCTGTCTTTTGTATTTGTACATTTCCAGATCTTTCTTGATGCCATTTCTAAAAGGTGTAACTACTGCAATCAAGCTTGGAAAGCTACAGTATGTTAATGCATAATAATCGAAATCATCCTCAATAATAACAACAATTTATAATAATAATCCTTACTAATCTTATCATTCTGGACACTTCACTCAAAGCACTTTACAGGTAATGGGGACTCCCCTCCACCACCAATGTGCAGCCCCACCTGGATGATGCAACTGCAGCTATAGTGCGCCAGTACACTCACCACACACCAGCTATCAGTGGGGAGGAGAACAGAGTTGAAGCCAGATCAGAGATATGATATTATTAGCAAGTCATAAATGGTAAAGGCTGGGGGGTGGAATTTGGCCAGGGCACTGGTGCAAGACCACTTCTCTTTTCGAGAAACTCCCTGGGATTGTTAATGACCACAGAGAGCCAGGACCTCGGTTTTACATCTCATCTGAAGGACAGTGCTTTTTGCAGTATAGTGTCCCCGTGGCTATACTGGGGCATTAGGACCTTAACAGACCGCAGGTTGAGCAGCCCTTACTGGCCCCTAATATACCTCTTCCAGCAGCAACCTTAGTTTTGGGTCTCCCATGCAGATACCAGCCAGGCTCACACCTTCAGTGGCAGCCCCACTGAAACTCAGCAGATGTGAGCTGCAGCTCCTGACTGTGAAACCCATCCCAGGAAATGAATAATATTCTTTGCAAAGCAATGTTTCCAGAAATGTGCTTTATAAATGAAGCAATACCTTTCATAAATAGGGATTTTCGTAAGAAAAATATGAACTCCCCCCCAATCAAATGTTTGACGAGTTTAGGACACAAGCTCTAAAAACTGTATATCAATACGCTTTTTCAAAGCATTCTTAAAATATCTCTCAGACCTAGATTCCAAGGAAATTTGACGTAGGAGGTCATCCTGCAATGTATTAATGAGCTCCATCTGGTCAGTCCTTGTGTGTTGAAGGCAGTGCAGTGCTGACATTTCCTCACTGTACACGCCGTATAAAGGTTGATGATTCTGTCCCCGGATAGTTTGTTAAAATGATTCGTGAGCGCTTGTGTAAGCAGTCAAATGAAAGAAAGGCAACACAAAACAAACCAGTGGCCAAGCTAATTACCAGAACACAAAGCAGACTGATGAAAAGGTACAGGAAGTAGGCCTCCAGAGGTTTAAATCAGTGGAAGTCATCTGGTTGTCAGAAATCTGCATGTGTGAAAATGAGAGTCTCTGGAATTCTCACTGTTAGACCCTGTTATACCCTTGCATTTTCTATCCTGTTATTGCGAAGAGTTCCCACTCCTCTGAGGAAGTTCTAAGCAACCTGTATTTTCCATCTTTTACCCATTACAAGATTTTACAACAGGCTACTAAGGAGAATGTACATTTAACACAATTCTTTAAACAGTAACACTCATAAAATACAGTAAAAAGAATGAGTATTCAGGCAGTGCAGTGATATCTGTCATTTTTGCCGGCTCCGAAACAAATCTGTATTTCAGATCAAACAATCAATACAGAATACAGAATGTCTGCTTTTATTTCTGGCTATTTTTGTGTGTACATGTTAAACCATGTGAGAATTAAAATGGTTTTGTTTTCAATCCCCTCCAATTTCAGGTCAGTACACAGTAAATTTTGGAACAGATTAACCTAAAGTAAATCATAGCTGTGTAAAGTTAGTATTTGGCTGCATACACCTTACACTAACAATGTCTCTGGACTCTATGTTCCTTTGAGATGCTTTTACATGCATCTTAACTTTAGCTACTTGTTGCTGGTTTGTGGGTGTTTCTCTCTTTTAGTTTCCTCTTCATCAAGTGAAGTGCATGCTGCCATTATGAGCCATAAAAGTAAACTCCAAAGACTGGAACATGGCTGTAGATTTGCAGTTTTTTTGCATTTAGTAAATCACAACACGGAGCACCAGAATAATCTTGTGAATATGCTGCAGTTAGAAAACATCAGTGTGTTTTGAAGCTCACTTTAAAGTGAAATGTTGGACAGTGAAGTGAATTTTGAATTTGAGATGAAAAGATTAATATCAGGCAAAAAGTATATTATTTCAGCTTTTGTTTTTGGGCATTAGTTTTGCATACTGTACATGTTTAGAAATGTCAGAGCAATGTCATTTGTTGTGTTCAGTCCCCTCATTTCAGGTGTGCATAAGGGACAAATTGATAATAGTTTATGACATCTGTGGCTTATTTCTTTCTCATCTC